CTGCATTCCACTGCTAGTCACCATCCACCAATTAAATACTAATTAAATGCCCAGACATCGTGGTCGAAGCATCTGCTCAAGAAGCCAACAGACATGTCAACCTGAGACCGAGCACCACTTCGGTCCAATCAATCAGTCGACGGGAAAATCTAAAATTCAATTAAATTATCTGTTATCTAGTTTCCGCATAAAGAAATCTGCAAGCAATAGGCCCACCCAGTGGTGAGCCTATAGCTATGCCACACCTATTTGTCGATATATTTTGTTATTGAAAGAGAATTGAACACATTTAGAGTGCGTCTCAATAGGAGTTCCGTCAAAAAGTCAGTGGGTGTAAAGACGTTTATACCCTTTGTTCATTTATTTTATTTTTAACTAAGAGTATTGTTTTTGTCATTATCAGCATTTTCGTACAATGGGTTGAATAACAAAAAAATTTGGATTTCCAATACAAACGTCAAGTCAGTTCTTCGGTACGTATCAGAAACTTGGCGAGTCACAAAACGAATATTTCCAACAGCCTGTTGCAGGCCTTTATCAACGACAACAACAACTGTCTTCGCTCTATACTGAAGATCAGATGGCCGGAAAGAACAAGAACCAACAAGAAACTATGGGAACAAACAAACAAAACAAGAACCAATCGCCCGGGAAATATGCAGGAGAAAGTGGAGATGAATTGGACACTCACTGAGGAGGAGGCCGCTGCTGGGTGACACCGCACGTCAGGCCATCACTCGAGTGGAACCCGAAAGGAAAGCGGCGAGTAGTGGGATGTCCAAAGGTGACATGGAGGAGATCGTGCGAAGAGGAGTTGAAACAGTATGGACTAACATGGATGCAGGTGAAAAGTACGGCAGAAGACAGAAGCAAGTGGAGACGTGTAGTTGAAGCCCTATGTTCCACAAGGAACCCAAAGGAACAATAATAATAATATAATACTGTATACTAAGGTATTTACCAACAAATCTGCACTAACACTATATAACATTATTTCAGCATCAAACAAAAGTTCAAGTAGAATGAAGACTAAGATCAGTGGAATCCGTATTAGTACATCTGTCTCTGTTTTCGACATAGAACCACTCTGCACAGATGTGCAGCAGTGTTCAAGTCGCCACACTCCCTCCAAACCAAAAGAAAAAAGTAGGAGAAATGCAGAGGTTTGGCGAGACAAAGGAATAGTAATAACGAAGAACAATATAGTTTCATTGGAAATCACAAGTCACAAGGAGTGGATGCATCTGCGCCAGGCATTGAGAACCATTTTGAGCCAGCCATATCACCAATTGTTTCCAGCCTTCATTGGTTTTTACCGTCCCGAGGACCTCAACCAGTCAGGAAGCCAGTCTACACCTTCCTACGTGTCTGGCTGGCTGGCTTAAACTAACTGTTGTGGATTTCATTGACTGACGAAAAAGCCATGTTTTGGTTTGACTGCCGCTAGCTCTTTTCTAGGCTGACCCTATGTCAGCTAACATTGCCCATTGTCGAGGAAGGCGATGACTAGGTATTCATTCGTAGCACATGTCCTAACCATCTCAGTCGACGTAATTTCACAGCTTCGTCGATTGATTTCCCCTCCTTACCTTACCTAGCACTCGACCGACGCCCACCCTATTATTATTATACAACTTCACACGGTAGACAGTTAATCTCTTCATGTCTTCCACTCTCAATGGCCAGGTCTCACAGCCAGCCATAAAGGAGGACGGAGTGGACTGATGAGCAGTACACCCGCCCTTTGGTCGATAGCCGGATGTCACGTCTACGCCAGAGACGGCATAAACTGGAAGGCATATGCGAAACTAGCCCTCAGTATCCGTACCCAGCTGAGATTTCGTCAGAGATCAACCCGTTGGCGTTGGCTGATGGTACTTCCCGAGTAAGTGCTCCACCAACCACTTCACTCACTATTTCTAAACTAGGAGGAGTCAGTCCTGTAACATCATCTTGCATTTGACAGCAGCACGAGCGAATCGCTCGGATACCAAACATTCGTAGATTGCGGTCCAACGTACATAGTTGTCTTAGCGCAAATTTTCATTTAAGCCCTATTCAGCACTGACTACATCAAATTTAATCGATCAACTCAAGGTATTGGCACACCTAGAGGAGAAAGGGTACCGATAGATACATAAGATGGTTTTTTTATTTTTCCTTCACGTTCCCCAGTGGAACACAGGGCTTCAAGCTAGTGGATTGAAGTTTCTGTAGCAGTGTTTATTTTACAGGATGGGGTTGCTAGCCTCATGCCCAACCTTTCCTCTTCACCAGCATTATTTTTGGCTTAGAGAGGTAAAGGAGTGCGTCGGTGAGTGGCCGGGGATCGACCCCGGACCATGTGCATGGTCGGCGAGCGTCCTAACCGCTACACCACCGATGCACTAAGGCATAATTGCATGTATTAGCTCTAGAATTACTACAATTATCCATGTAGCATATATGATCTAAGGAACCATAGCTGATTTAATGAGCCATTCGCGGTTTCACCGTTTTAAGGTATGTACTTAGACATGCATGGCTTAATCTTTGAGACAAGCATATGACTACTGACAGGATCAACCAGTTTATTCACACAGTGATACACCCATTGACTGGGTATTGGTTTTCAGGTGAACCAAACACACCCATCCCTGCCTCTTGCGAGACGAGAACGGCTTGCAGTATCATCCTGTGGCGCAACCACTCGAGAGCCCTCTCCCTCAGTGGACCATTCGCACCGTTAGTATATTAATGATAGGTAAGTATACATAGCAGTGCATAGGTATGCATTGTTACGCTGATCGTTGATCGCGCCAATCACTTATGCGCTGCATAGACAAGCCCAATAGAACTCATCTCGCATACAAGACCAGCCAAACGTATCAATATATGCAAAAGTAGCACGCATAGCAACGCTATAGTGACAATAGGCCCTTATAAACGAAGCCAGAAGCCACCGAATTCAATGAAATTGTTATCCCTGCCAACCAATTTAGCATGCAAACAGCTTCTATACGTCTACCAAGACTATAGAAAACCATACACAGTCAATAAGCGAGCAATGAGAACTGGTTAACTCACGCTCATATCGCATATATAGCTTATGCTGTGTTTACTATAGGATTTTAGGGTTTTAAGCTGACAGCCTAGCAAGGGCGCTGTAGGGCCTAGACAAGCTTAGAACCCTATGGTCATAGATACCAAAACGCGTTTCACGCTTTCCTCTATCATTTGGAATGGTTTTTGAAATTTTCAATTTTTTCACGTTCTGGACCCGAGTTAGGGGTAGTATCCCTAACATATTCCAACATAAGATGGTATTGTATGATAATACGACTAAGTACCTTTCAATCACAAATATTGTCTTATTCCACATGATCAGGGAACAGTTAGAAAGCCGATTCAGAATATCGATGTGTTCCTCCAAAAAATACGAAATATGTTATTCGGGATTAGAAACACAAGGTACAAATGTCATCCTAGCTATAAATAGAGTGCGTGTATGAGCAACCGTATGTAGTATGATAGCTTAACTAAATGATGTCAATGCTTCCCCAGATACCAGATGAGTTAAACATTGAAGGTTAGCAACCGATGTCGAACGATGAAAGCGCTCTAGGCTAATAATTCTGGATACATTTCTACCTGTGCATAGAACTTCACCAACAAAACAAAACTCATTCATTGTACGGTAAATTTATTTGACGGAAGTACACAGTGGTACAGTATTATTCACTGGTGACGTTTCCAGCACTATTTATTGGTGAGGCAGCTTCAACTTTATTTACAATCTTTATTATTATTATTATTATTATTATTGTTCCCTTGGGTTCCTAGTGGAACATAGGGCTTCAACTGCACACCTCCACTTGCTTCTGTCTTCTGCTGTACTTTTCACCTGCATCAATGTTAGTCCATACTGTTTCAACTCCTCTTCACACGATCTCCTCCATGTCACCCTTGAACGTCCCACTACTCGTCGCTTTCCTTTCGGGTTCCATTCGGGCGATGGCCTGACGCGCGATGTCACCCAGCAGCGGCCTCCTCAGCGAGTGTCCAATCCATCTCCACTTTCTCCTGCATAACCGTTGGTCGATTGGTTCTTGTTTTGTTTGTTTGTTCCCATAGTTTCTTGTTGGTTCTTGTTCTTTCCGGCCATCTGATCTTCAGTATAGAACCAGCGAAGACAGTTGTTGTGGATAATGGTCTGTAACAGGCTGTTGGAAATATTCTTTTTGTGACCCGCCAACAAGTTTCTGATCCATCCGTATAGAAGAACTGACTGACTTGACGTTTGTATTGAAAATCCGAATTTTGTTGTTGAGTGTTGCTGAGTGAGTGACGAAGATTTCCAGATTGGTTGTTTCAGGTTGATGAATGTGTTTCTCGCCTTCCCGATTCTCGATTTGACATCCTCGTCCGTTCCCCCTGTATAGTTGAGACAATGCTTCCTAGCTAGATAAGTGAATGAAGTGACCTCTTCCAAATCCCTCCCGTTGCTGTGAGACAGCAATTTTCGTCAATGTTTACGTTGCAAATCTTGGTCATGAGAAGAAAGCAAGAACAAAGCCTAACCTTGAGGAAATCAACAACCAGTCGCAGCAAACTTAGCGTGGGCGGATACGATTCGCATATATATATATATATATATATATATATATATATATATGACAGAATAACCTTCAGCAGGAAAACAACCAATCATAAGACGTTGCTTCTCTGCTAACAATAATGAATAATAATGTGCATAAAAATCGATTAATATCTGTTGATTTTGCTCGGTGAACGATCTGCTGCCTGGACCTTGTCGTCTGTCCTAACAGTCTTAACACTTAAAAGGCGAATTTCGTGTGACCTTCTACTTACTTCTATACTTTTAGTCTGTTTGTCAATCTGCCTTAAACATTTTACAAAACAGGTAAAGTAATTTTAAAAAGCGATTCGCATGCAGAGAAACAAAAATCATTGAATGACGAAAGCCGATTTTTTAAAATAAAATAAAAGAGGCATCCTACTTTTAAATTATGATAGTGTCTTTTCAATTCCTTCTCTTTTTGACTCAATTCTATAGCAATTTCAGGTATTTCCAATCCCCATTTCGAAAATAATTCAATTTCTCGGTAGACTTGTAAAATCTCTGGATCCAGTGCGACAATAATTCGATTTGTTTCTTCATCTTGATATAGCAGAGAATCACGGAGACTGACTTTTGCTATAGATATCTATTAGAAAATAAGCGTTGACGAAAGCAAAAAAAAATTGAGTTAATGTGAATTATACTACTATGTGAAATAAGTAGCTTGAAGTAATAAGAATGCGATGAAATTCAAATGAACTGTCTGTCGTTAAGATTTGGCAGAATAGTTCTAAAATATTAATTTCCCCGAAGAAGTTCGGACCAGATTGACGAACACAGGAAACGTTGGAATTACTCATTTCAATCTCGCTGAGATTTTACAAATATAATTTTTTACAAATGCGAAGAAATATTGCGTCAATATATATATATATATATATATATATATATTTATATATTGCATATTACATAATACCACACGAAAAGTGAGTTGTATTCAATAACTAACAAAGCAGCGAGGATCGGGGAGGCAAGGCAACCTTTCATTACTCGCAAGTCTGTGAGGAGGAGATGAATTGCACTAAGAATGAAAATGAAAATAAGATCTGGATTTTCAACTCCAATGTGAAATCAGTCAGTGCTACTGTGAGAATCAGAGACTTAACGCCGCGCCGCGCCACGTCACGGAGGTCACTTCGAACAAACTACAGACTTTCATCGACACCTGTCTTCACTCAATACCTCGCTCGCTGAAGATCAGATGGCCCGCCGGCCGGCCGGCCAGAAAACATCACCAATATGGAGGGATCTCTGGCAATGAATGATTCGACGAACCAACAAACCAACCCAACCCAGCAGGAACCAATTGTGCAGCAAATATTCAGAAAGAAAGTAGGTGGATTGGATTGTATTGTGGCCGCACTCTGAGGAAACAAACCATGAAGTGAGTAGTGACATCACCCACCAGACCATCACTCGAGTGGGACCCGAACGGGAAGCGGTGTGTTAGTTGGTAGTGAGTTCGAGGGTGACATGGAGGAGAAGGAGGAAGTGATGTGAAGAGGAGATGAAAGCATGTGGGTGGACGTGTAGTCACGTGAAAACGTTGGCGGACAATCGAACGCAATGGAGACGTGCAGCTGAAGCCCTATGTTCCTCTAGGAATTAAAGGAGACAACAATCTGAAAACGAATCAATCAAGAGCCGTATTACCCAACAAATATATGTCGAAATGGAAATGGATCCAACAAACACTGAAGAGACAGATGTGTGTGACATCACGCACCAGACAGAACGTTGAGTGGAAGAGAATTAGTAAACAGCCAGTTGAGTATCTGAGAGGGACACGGAGGCGGTTGTGTGTGTGTGTGAGGTGGAAATGACAACTTGTCGGTGGTTGTGGAGCCAGTCAAAGAGGACGCAGGAGAACAGGATGAAATGGCGATGTGCTGTTAAAGCCCTAGTAGGGCCCACTTTGAACCCAAGGGAATAATAATAATAGCTTCATTTTTAAATTAAGTTTGTTTACATATCTCCTAACTTGAAAATAGTTTTCATGATTTCATCAGCGGTCTTTCAGAAGATCTGAACATTGGGTATAATGTTTTGGTAGGTAAACATGTGCTTTCAGATTACAATTACACGCTCTATTATTATTATAATTATTGTTCCCTTGGTTTCCTAGTGGAACATACGGCTTCAACTGCACGTCTCCACTTGTTTCTGTCTTCTGCTGTACTTTTCACCTGCATCCATGTTAATCCGTACTGTTTCAACTCCTCTTCACACGATCTCCTCCATGTCACCATATCAAGTCACTCACTCACTCACACAACTTTCGTCTTCCTTCATTTATATACATGAGTGGAATTCATGATTAGACATTTGAATACAAATCAGTAATATAGGATAATGTACATTCAGAAATAATAACAATAATAATATGAGTGTTACTGATCAATTACACTCAGATGGGAAATAAGACGAGTGTTTTTATAGTCCTTGTTCCTTGTTAGAATGTTGTGATGATGTACGTGAATTGAATTGAAATAGAATGCAATTTGAGATTATTTATTATCCTCCTCTGATTTCACTGACTGACTGACTGGTGGTAATAATATCTTCCATGCATGTCTCTGGTATTTGCATTGAGTCATTTCTGTTGCATGTGTTGGATGTAGACTCGATGAACCAGGAAGGACTCGGTAATCAAACTCTCTCGCTCTTCACCTACCCAGATTACTCTTCGGAATGTTGACTCTGTCCTACATACTCTGTTGATTGGTTGTGTGTGAATGCATGCAGTGCAATGTAGTGCTGAGCTTTTTTTCTAAATTGGTTATCTTCTCGGGGTCAACAATTCTTACCTTAGCTTAATTCTTATGTTCTGACAATCTGATTATCCCCGAACTACTAGTTTGACCTATGTAGGTAGTTGACCTAACTCACAGTCATTGCGAGGTATTTTGTAAATTATACTATTTTGTCTAATTGGGTCCACCCGGTCTTTTAACCTACATAGCTTGTCCTAAATGAGTCAGTTTGTAGGCTTGAATGCCACCACTCTAATTCCTGTTTTATTGAATATCCTACGTAGGGAGTGTCTCAGATGTCCCCTCCTTATATGGTATGACAGTAGCTACCCTATATTCTCTCTTATTTATGTTAGTTATCATTATTAGTTTCACCATTATTTTTAATTTTTATTTTGACCTTTTTCGATCTTCCTAATGAATTTTATAGGATAGTTAGTTATTTGATACCAACGCTTCTTCTTCTATCTGTTTTATTTCATCATTTAGGTCTTTTCTTGTGCTACTTAGTGCTACTGCTCGGTTTGTTAGACACTTAACTACTAAGCCTGCCTTCGCAGACAGATAACGGATGAGACGAATTAAAGTCTAAATATCTATGAGCAGAATGCGTTGGTTTTCTATAAACACTAGTGTGCAGTAGTTTACCTTCTTCTGTTCGTTTTATTTTACAATTTAACATTATAAGAGCTAATTCTCCTTGTCCATTTTCCGATTCAAATGTGAATTTTATTCCCTTTACTAGTGAGTTTGTGTATGTGAAGAAGCTAGAGAGAGATATGTTCTGTTTTTAGCACTGTGAAAGTTTCATCCGCATATCTTCACCATATTTTTGGAGTAGGATTAGGTGAATGTATTAAGAGCAATATTTTCCCATCTGTCCATAAATATATCTTCTACTGAAGGGATATTGGTGAGTGACTTGATATGATGATTATGAGTGGCAATAATAATAAATTGTGCTCGAAGCGTGTGGTCACATCAGTTAATATTACTTAGTGTATAGCACTACACACACACACACTGTGTGAGTGACAGTTAATCAAAACAGAAAATCTTATCCATAATGGAGTAGTTATACTCTACCACCAACTCCACAGTGCCCAAGTTTTCTACTTAATTCACACCCTTTTATAATTGGGACAAGCTGCTGTGGACATTGATAAAGCCGATTAGTTAAACGCTTTCATTATCGTAACCCATGATCATTTTATCACCTGAAACCAATCTGGAAATCTTCGTCACTCAGCAACACTCAACAACAAAATTCGGATTTTCAATACAAACGTCAAGTCAGTCAGTTCTTCTATACGTACGGATCAGAAACTTGGCGGCGGGTCACAAAAAGAATATTTCCAACAGCCTATTGAAGACCTTTATCAACAACAACAACTGTCTTCGCTCTATACTGAAGATCGGATGGCCACTGGAAAGAACAAGAACCAACAAGAAACTATGAGAACAAACAAACGAAACAAGAAGTAATCGCTCAACAGATATGCAGGGGAAAGTAAATGGAGATGGATTGGACACTCGCTGAGGAGGCCACTCGCTGGGTGACATCGCACGTCAGACCATCGCTCGAGTGGAACCCGAAAGGGAAGCGGCGAGTAGTGTGACGTTCAAGGGTGACATGGAGGAGATCGTGTGAAGAGGAGTTGAAACAGTTTGGACTAACATTGATGCAGGTGAAAAGTGCAGTAGAAGACAGAAGCAAGTGGAGGCGTGCAGTTGAAGCCCTATGTTCCACTAGGAACCCAAGGGAACAATAATAATGATCATTTTATCATCATTTGTATTTTTAAAAAAATTTTATTCTCTAATTGAAAACACACACACCAAATTCACAGCTGGTAAAAAATAATTTTACCTGAAGATTTCACATTATAAAAGCAGGACACTATAACTGACTAACTAGAATTTAAGGTTTTGAAATAAAAGAGATTTGTAGCTCAGGTGTATGATTTGCAATTAATAGTGTTCTCTGAGCTGGTTGGTTGGTTTAGTTGCGAAGCTTTCGTCGTCCCCCTGCTGGACAACATCCCCCTTCAGCTCAATATTTAGCATAAAGTAAAATGATTCAAATTTCTTCATGAGTGGTGATATAATTGCGTCTCCTGGTAACCATCTTTACATATGTATTGATCATTTTCTATTGACTTGGATTTTAAACTTTATGGTCACCTGATTTACTTTTTATCAGTTGGTATATTTCGTCTATATTAACGTGTTTGTTAATCGCATATTCGTTTGAGTGCCAGGCTTCTAGGAATTCCCTGACTGCACTTTTAGTGGATTTTCCTCTGTCTAAGATTTTGACATTATCCCAGTTATCAAATTGATGACCATAATTATGTATATGCATTGATACTAAAGAATACATATCGTGTCTTTTCACGGCTGATTTGTGTTCTTCGATTCTGATTCGAAGGGATCGCCCACTTTGGCCGATGTAATGCTTTTTGCAGTTCATACAATTTATTTTGTAAATGGTATTAATTTTATCCCCTTTTTCTGTTGGATGTGTCTTTCGGTTTGCATAATATCGAATCAAGCGATTTGACTGGTTTGTGTTCTATATCTATATCTAACGGTTTCAGTATTCTAGCTGTTATTTCAGAGATATTTCTCATGTATGTTAGAATGAATTTTCTTGTGTTCTTTGATGATAATTCCTTGTTGGTGTTGTGATTCGAGGTTATACACTTTTTGATGAAATTTTGTGGATATCCATTCTTTTTGAAGACCGTTAGTAGGTACTTTTCTTCGATTCTTTTCAACGCTGGTGTGCTACAGTGTGTTTGAACTCACTTGTGAACAATGTCTGCACACA